TGGGCATCTGGGTGACCCTGCTTGCGACCACTCTGCTAATGGTGAGAGGTGCAGCCTTAGCCACTGGTTACACCGCCTGCCTTCTTTCTGCTTTCTGCCCAGACAAGAGTCTTGGAAGAGTAACCTATGTTCAGTGCCTTCCTGTCCTCACTGCCCACTCCCTTCGCAGCCCACCGCCTCTGGTTTCCATTCTCACTGCTCAGTCTCGTTTATTCCTTTGACGCACACTTATGGAAGGCACGCGTTACGGCAGGCACTGATCTAAGTGTGGGTGTGACAAGTGTGTTGTCACCATTCAGGCCCCAGATCCAACATCCTCCCTCTGACCTGGACTCTTTTTTTTTGTCCTTTTTGAGACCGGCCGCACCGTGCTCAGCCAGTGAGCGCTGTGAGCACACTGGTCATCCCTATATAGGATCCGAACCTGCGGTGGGAGCGCTGCTGTGCTCCCAGCGCCGCACCCTGCTGAGTGCGCCACGGGCTCAGCCCTGGACTCTTGATTAGGAAACACAGCCCTGCTCCAGGCCCTTGCCCTGGGGCCCTGTTCATCCGGGATCACCTGTTGGGGCAATCATTTGGTTCCCAGGGATAATAACTAACTTGTCCATCACTGAGTCCCCAGTGCTGAAGTGAGACTGGGACATAACAGATGCTCCACTAACAGTGTTGAGTGAATGGGTGCTGAGGTCAGCCCTGACAGCTTGCCAGCTGGTGACTAGGACCATGTTTCTCAACCAGGACTGAGTTTGCCTCTAGGTGACATTTAGCAATGTCTGGAGACATTTTTGTTTGGGGTGGGTGAAGGCCAGGGATGCTGCTGAACATCTTACAAGGCACAGCTCTCGACAGCAAAGACTTATCCAGTCCCAAACGTCAATGGTGCCAAGTTGGAGAAACCCAGGCCTGAGGCCTCTGCCTGCAGAACTCTTCTCCAAGAGCTTAGTGTTTGCAATAAGGCAGTCATTGTGGTTATTTAGGGTGAATAAGTGCTCACAACTCTTGAGTTCTTTTTTTAGCCTCTTCTGGGTTTATTTTTTAAGAGGCAAATCCTGGCTGCTTATCAAAGTGCATTAGTCAAGTCGCAAATGGCTGATGGCAGAGAGAAACCTTTGAAAGGGCCCTGCACGAGACGTTTTCATGTGGAAAAGATGATTCCACTTCATGCTGCACGCGACGCCCTAGCAGCCCTGGCAGCCCGTGCGTCTCACCGGCTCACTAGGTCGGGACAAAGGATGTCCCAATTCATTGTCGTTACTTCTGTTCAAGCTGGGCCTTGGGTTGCCTCCAGAGGATGAATGTGCTTTAACTGAAGCGTGGCCTTTTTCTTACTGGGACCCACAGGATACTCAGAACCTGCCCCTCACACAAAGCTTTCCTTGGCCTCCCTTGGGACCTACCTGGGTCATTGTCCTTCAAAGTCGCGATCTCTCCTTCTATCCTCTTATGGTGTTGAGTCACTTTTTGGAGTCTTTCCTCCAGACTCACAATCGTCTGGGAGTGCTGTTTGACTTGCTCCTTGTATTCCGTGATTTCTTCTTCAAATCCGTGTTTCTGTGACTCCCGTTCGTCCTGGAGGGCCTTCATCACCTGCTGTTGCAGCATGATCCGCTCCTCCATCGTGATCTGGGAAGACAGAGTAAGGATCCATGTGGTCTAGGGGCCGGATAGGACGACGACAGCAGGTGCCAGCCTCAGGGCCTGCGCGTGTGCTGCTCCCACTGCCCGCACGCTCCGTCCCCAGCTCCCCGCGACGCCTTTGCCTCTCTCAGGTCTCAGCTCCGACGTCACCTCCTCAGAGAGGCCCTCCCTGACCACCTACGGGGAGCAGCCGGAGACACCGTCTATTCCGTCACCTATTTTCCCTGAGGCCTTCATGCCACCTCGATCCACCTCGCTTCTTTGTTCCCGACCCCCACTAGAACGTAAACGCCACGACAGCAGAAACTTGTCTTTTCTTACTTACTGCCACACCCAGAGCATCTGGACCTACGTGTTTGATAATTAGCTGTTCACTTAAAGAATGAACACTTTCATAAGAAAAAAGGGAACGAATTTGCATTTCTTAAAACCAAAAATTATCCCCATGGCAGATGGGACCCCTTTCCCATGACCGCCCTCTCCTTCCTGCGGCTCTTCCTGGGGCTCCCAGGCCAGCGCTGCCTCTCCGTGTCCCTCTTGCTTCTCCAGCCTCCCCCGCTCTGGCCCCCGAATGACGTCGCATTCCCGCTGCTCTCCCTGGTGGATGTGCTGGGCCTCGGCCTCTGACCTCCTCCTGACGTGTAAATCCTCTCCCTGAGACACACGTGCCCACTATTTCACTAACCTGCCGGCAGGGCTGTCTTCCAAATGAGACTGTCTCGTTTTCTCTCCCAAATCTTCTATAGCGCTAGAAGCTGGGGGAGCTTTTGAACTTTGATACCCTACTTTCACCTTGCCTCATCTCCTCCAAGACAGAGTCCCCCTGACAAGAGGCCCCCCTGCACCCTGGGCCTCCACATTCCCATCGGTATGCCATCCATGTGCCACCATGACCCCAGGTGCCCTGGCTTAAACTTGCCAGGCTTCTATGGCACCTCCCTCTCCTTGGCACTCATGTCCTGAGAGCCAGTTACCAAGTCCTGCCATTGTAACCCTCTCTGCAGCAACTCCCTTCTTCCCACTCTCTGCCTACCCGCCACTGAGTGTCCTGGTCCTTAGGATTCTGGACTGCAGCAACAGCCACCATGTGCCACGCCCTGAGCTGGTCTCTCCAACCCCCATCCCTCTCTCAGATTTCCTTTGTGCGCTTCTGGCAGATGAATCTTCATTACCTCCTTCCCCGCAGACCTGCCAGTTGATGCATGGATGTCAGGCTGAATGCATATTGAGCCCTGATTGTGAAGGCCACAAATACCAAGCTAAAGCCTTCCAACAGTGTCATAAAGTCTGTGGAATAGTCACTGACCACTAAATTCTGTGGCTCCTCGGTCCTTCTCCCTGACCCTGTTAGGAGTCTGCGTTACATCTTAGAGCCCTGGAGACAGGGCATGACAGCCTGTGTGTACCTTTCATTCTAAGCCAATGCTTTGCAGCAGGGGGTGATTTTGTCCTCTAAGGGACATCTGGCAATGTCTGAAGACATTTTTGGTTATCACAACTGAGGGGACGGGGCCACTAGCATCTACTGGGTAGAGACCAGGGATGATGCTAAAGTGCCTCCAATGCACAGGACAGCCACCAACAAGAGAGTTAGTTGCCCCAGAACGTCAGCAGTGCTGGGGCTGAGGAGCACATTCTCATGGCATCGTCATCTTCTGTCAGGGGGGACATTCTCCCAACCCTGGAGGACGCCGACTTACCATTTTTGTCTTGGCGGTTTCCAGTTCGGCTAATGTTTCATTTAATTTCATGGTGAGGCTCTCTGCTTTTAGACTTTCAGCCGTCTTTGTTTTCTGAGTCTCTTCTACCATGGCCAGTGCGTCATTTAATTTATTATTTAAAACGTCCTCTTTTTGCCTTTTTAATTCTATTTCCTAGACAAACAACAAACATCAAAATCACAGACATTCAGGAGTAAATATTTCTGCTAGCCTCCCCCGAACCCCTGCCTTCAGAGAGGAAGTAAACCCTAATTCTGTAATTAGTTTGTTGATCCCTTTAAAGTACAAAGTCTGTGCCTTCTCTGGAAGGTTCCAGAACTCTTCATTACATTCAGCTGAAATCCATCTCCTTGTGATTTCTGGTCCCTGAGCTCACTTCTGTCACCTGGAGCTCATTGAGTAAGTTTTATTTCCCTCTTATGAGACAGCCCTTTAAATATTTGAGAAGAGCTGTCATGTCTCTCTCTAAATCTATTCTCCAGGATAAATGTGCTGGATTCTTTCACCCCTTCGTCACATGACCTGCTTTCAGGACACTCCACTTTGCTTGGGGCTTGGGTCCTGGGATGACCTGGGCTTCAGTTGCCATGTCCTTGGCACATCTTATCCCTCCTCCTGGAACCTTCCTCCAATCTTTGCTTGTCAAAATTCTAGTCTCCTCCTGGAGACCCTCCTCAGATAATGTGGAATGTGGGCTTCATGCCAGGCACTGTGCTGGGGGTTTTATGAACATTACTTGATCCAATTTAAAATATATTCTTGAGACGTAGTACTGGGCATTCTCAGACTGTGTTGGTGGCAGTGTAAACTGGTCTGACATTTCTGGAAGGTCATTAGGAATGTGTATGGTAAGTCTGAAAATGCTCATATCCTGTAACCTAGCAATTCCACTTTTGGGAATTTATCTTAACGATGTAAGGAATGATGCACAGGCTGGCTGCACCAAGCATCTCGTACCCTAGTGAAAGGTGAGAAACGGCCCCAGTGCCTGAGCAGGAGGCAGGGACAAAAAAATTGGGTCCATCCCGCATATTGCAAACCCAGGTCATGACTGATTGCTCAATGACACGGGAACATTTTTATAATATGTTTAGTATTAAAAATAGCTTCCAAGGCAGTGTGCACAGTGTCACAGTGTAAATCACTAACTTTGTAATAAATTGTTATTTATTGATGTCTATAGTAATGCTCAACATAAGGACGCTCTGGAAGGAATTCCACCA